AGAATAAGGCATGCATCTTTTTCAAAGAGGCTTAGCATTCCTACAAAAAGTTTTGCTGATTCTTCAACCTGCCGTTTTGTAAATTGAATTGCTCATCAACAAAGTTTCATGTTTTTCAGCTCTCACGAACTGTATGTTCTTCTTCCTCCGGTTCAATCTCTTCATTGGACTCCTCATCATTGGACTCCTCACTGCTGAAATGATGCAATGCTTGCCAATACTCAACATCTGAACATTCTTCAAGCAAGGAATCCAAACACCGCACCTTCTGTACCTCTCTGCTCCAGTTTCACATTCTCTTCACCTCCATCACTTTCTTCAACTGGTGTCATTTCTGCATCTGCCGACTCTTCGACTTCGGCTTCTGCTGTTGCTTCTGTTTCCACTTCGGTTTCTGCTGTTGCTTCTGTTTCCACCTCTGTGCCGCAGTTCCTGCTGGAGACGTTGCGTTCATTGAAATTACCATCTTCTGATCTCAACTCTGCTTCTAGTTCTTGATCAGGAGGGCGAGGATAATCTCCGTCTGACAACTGACTATTAGGAGAAAGGTCAGTCATGGTGTGAGCAAGAATGTGAGCTCTGTTGCTCACCTCCTCTGTCCAGCGCAGCCAAGGTCACGCAAAATGCGTTGCCGATTCAGGTTCACGTTTCTCTGTCGCGACGCCATTCCAACCGACTCATAACTCTTCCCAACATCCAGCAAAAGCCACTCCGGGTTCCATACATCCCAACGGTACACTGCAATCTCCGAATCCAGCGGCAGCTGCTGCAATCAAAACGCTTGGCTGCCTCTCAATCACGGGCGCAGCCCTGTTATCCTCATCGCTGTTCTCTGCATCACCAGGTCCAGTCCCGGTGCTCACTTCTCCGTCCCAGCCTTCTCACAGAATCGCCAGAATCGGCACAACATGTTGAAACCAAGGAACAAGCCAATCAACACTGTCCACAATTCTTGGAAAAGCAGCTGTCTCGTTTCTTCGTCCACCTGAGAACCTTGTAGATTCAATGCGGAAGCCAGGCATGCACACTTCACCCACTTGCGGCCCAATTGAACTCGGCAGCATGATGCACTTGGATCGGCGGCAGCGCAAGACAACAGGAAGCTGAAACCACCGAGAAGTTGCAGCTGCCGAGGCTCTTACTGTTCAAGAACATGTGTGAACATTCTGGGGAAGCCCTCTGTGGCGAGACCGGTTTTTGCTGGGGCTTTTGGACCCCCAGCTGGTGCCCAGAAAAATTGTTTTTTCCAATCCCTTGAAGGAGCAAAAAGTTTGGAAAACCAGCGAGATTTGAGAATTGCTGGGGAGAAAGCGTTTGGCGTGTATGATAACAATCAAGCTGACAGATCAATGGTCAGCTGCTTTTTTCAGCAGTCTGATTGCGGCCTTGCACGCTTGGTGCATGTTTGCTTGCTACAATGCTTGTGGTGGACATCCGCCGTGAGTCGACCTAGCGCCTTGACTCTTCGTATTTTTTGGTCTGTCTTAGTTTTGGGTGAGACGGGAGAAGGGTGGGGAGATGTTGAGCGAAGGTTTGGCGCCGTGGAGCCGTGGAGCCTGTCATGATTGCGTATGTTGTAGGTCAGTGTTCAGGAGCCATCTCTGGTGGTTCACTATGGCAAGGAAACCTTGTTTTTTATTCGACGTTGTTGCTTGGCGCATGTTGTGAAGGGTGGGGTTTTGAAAAGATATTGTTGAGGTTTGCGCTCACGTCCTTGCTGTTTGTTGCAAGCTACGCCAGGCTGCCGCCCGGGTCCCAGTTCCATCTTAAGCATCAACGTTTAAATTTTCCCTTGCAACGCGCTATATAGGGTTTTTGCGGCTACAATCAAGCTCTGGGTCGGGCCAAGGCCGTGGAGGCCAAGCCTCGCACAGCCATGACAGGGCGATTCCGTGTCGCAAGCCTTGTGCGTTTGAGGTGTTTCTCCTGAACTGCCCGTGACCGTTGTGGAGGCCAGTGACGTGGCAACGGCAAGCGGGCAACCCCTTCACCCCCATAGACTCTGAGCGTGGGAACTGCGTCGCGCACCCGTGGTGGGGAAGTTGCGTGCGCAAGAGGGCGCGGAGTAGTGTTTGCATTAGCTTTGCTGACAAACAACAGTGTGTTCTTATTCCGGGCGAAAATACTCCGCAAGCCTGCCAATTGGTCGCAGCAATCATGTCCCTTCAAAAAAAAATTCCGCGCTCATTTCTATTGGGGAGAGAAAGGGTATAGCCTTCTCCGCGCGCGTTCCATTTTCTTGTTTCTTGCGGCAGATTGTGGCTGTTCAAGTTGTTTTTTTGGCCGCGAAGCATGGTAGCTTCTCTTTGTTTGTTTTTCTTTGTGTTCTTTACAGCCTGTTTATTAGATGAGATTGTCAGTTGCCACAGGATTCAATCGGAGGACTTGTCTTCTACAGCGCATCGTCAAACAGATCTTTTTTCCCACACAAGCTAAAAGTGGCATCGCGAAAACAGGAGTTTTTTGATGACCAATCCAAGTACCTCTCCTGTACTACAGCGCGCGGTGCGTCTCGGTACCAGTTCAGCACGGCTCGGACCCTTTGTTACAATGCGCGGCGCCGCTTCTGCGCCGCTCGGGCCCTCTATTACAATGCGCGGCGCCGCCTCGGCGCCGCTTAGGTGCCGCTCGGGCCCTCTACTACAATGCGCGCCTCGGCACCGCTTCGGTACAGCTCGGGCCCTCTATTACAATGCGCGATGTCGACACCCCGTTTACGTTTTACAAAGCTTTAACTCAGTCGGAGTGATGAACTTCCAAGAAAACACAAAGACCAACAGAAACCCACAAAACGCAACCTTAACATTGAAGTCCCGGCGCTTCTTCAAACGGGGCGCTCCACACTTGCGCCAAGGCATTCCAAGTATTCTTCGCGCTCAACCATTCTTGACAAAGGCTTGGGCGTGGCTTTGGCCATTGATGTGTCCAATGTTAAATTGCATTTCGGGTGAATTTGTGGCCTTCATTTTGGTGTCCAAAAACACCAGCAAAACCGGTCTCGCCACGGAGGGCCTCTCCAGCAAATGTTCGCAGGGTGTGGAGAACATGTTTTTTCTTTGCACCGGTGGAGGCGCTATGTGTGCCGAGAGGCACAAGTCACCTTGATTGAATTAAAACGGGATACTAGGGAGATACGGGCCAGGCATCAAAACAAGGCACAACACAACCAAAACAACCAAACAAACACCCAAAACACAAAACACAAAGCAGCCGGGTTCGTATCTCAGAAGGGCTGCGCAAGCCGAAGCAAAAGTTGAGTGAAACATGGGTGAGACGGGGCACTGAATTCGTTCTTCTACTTGCGCTCAGTACTTGATGGTCAGGCAGTAGCGTTATTCCTTTCTGTGGGCAGCGAGTATTTATGTGGCAATGTTGATCATTGCCCATGTATGCAAGGGGCACCCAAGAATGTGCAGGAGCTGTGGGAGCGTTTACGAACCATCGCTGTTGCAGCTCGGCAATGTGTGACTTAGTTCAAAGAACACAACTTTGCTGACAACAGTTTCGGGTTGGCTCACATTGGCACCTGAGTGTGGTTGTAGTGCTTCTCTCAAGTTTTCGGTGTTTGGGTTGCGATGAGTATGATTGCGACAGGTGACATTCATTTCTGTCTCCGACTCACTGTGATCAAAATCCCAAGGAATGTTTGTGGAGAGCAAAAGTAGGTTGAGTGTAATCAACCATGCACCCAGAGCATGCCGTTGGGACAAAGGGTAGTGAGGGCAGTCGAGCCCAAAGCTTACGAAAGCCATGACCTGCAAGGGACCTATGACGAATCAA